GTGCATTTTATGATACGCTATACTGCCAAAAGTATTCACTCATCTGCCTTCACATGCACATGAATTTAAGAGACATCCCATTCTTAATCAATAATGAAGAATTTAATTGAATATGTCAGCCCACCCTTTGCAGCTATAACAGCTTCAGCTTGTCTCAGAAGGCTTTCCACAAGGTTTATAAGTGTATTTATTGGACCATTCTTCCAGAAATACATTTCTGAGGTGAGACACTGATGTTGGACGAGACGGTCTGGCTCACAGTCTCTGCTCTAATCCCAAAGGTGTTCTGTCGGGTTGAGGTCAGGACTCTGTGCAGGCCAGTCAAGTTCTCCCACACTAAACTCGCTCATCCATGTCTTTATGGACCTTGCTTACAGAAAAAAATCTGATAATTAATTTCTTTATTTTGCTGTGAACCTATTGTAAAAAAAAAAAAATGTGGGTGAGACTTTTATCAGTAGGAAAAACTATAAAAACCTATTTAAACTACAGTTAAAGTAAAAATATCTGCCCTCCGTCACATTTTTAAAAGCTGTTCAGTGGGCCGGATCGCAGTCTGTCCAATTTCAGCCCCCCTGCCTTATGTTTCACACCCCTGTGCTATGCTAATGTTTATTAGGTCTGCTGACCCTCTCCATTCCTTACTGCATTGTCAGCATCTAATGTATCATCCTTTATCCTCTAAGCAGCGACATTTGGACATGGGGAAACCAGGAAGATCAGATATTTATGTAACTGGTTCATCAAAACAGGTCTGATCTTGCTTCAACAAACACATCCCCTGCAATATAAATAGGAAAACGGTTTAAGGGGTTCGCAAAACGAACAGAGGAATGTCCATCATCAAGTAAGCCTAGGTGTGGTACAGTAGGAGTGGGATAATAACAGTACAGGAGCAGAAAGAGACCTCACACACAGCTAAAGTTACAACACGAGCTATGAGTCATACATGTAGCGGTCATTATCACACAAGACTAAAATTAAACACGAACACAGGAAATATTAATCTAATTAGACAGACACACTATCCTATGAGAAGAGTGTGCTTACACGCATGTGCATATTTCCTTTTCTTTACTTATTCACACTTACGTGGTATATAATCATGTAGAGGTTGAGACAAACACAGATTGCCTCTGAAAGCTGATGACGTACCACCTAATCTTAGCTCAGACAAAAACAAAATTAGCCACAACATATGTGACACACCTAAGATGAAGTGTGTTTTCCATATAATTACACACATTAAAGACGCAGCCTGTGTTTGGGTGGACGCCTTTTCTGTGAGGCATTAGTGGTTCGCAAACCCATGCTGAAACACAGAAAGTAAATTACAGCAAAGCCTTGCCAAAGGAGAAGAACCGAGGAAGATGTGGAAATCATTTTAAGGAAAACTTCATTTCCTGGGAGACTATCGGCTTCAATGCTGGAAAGCTGTGCCTCGTGTAAGGTAAGGAAAGCAACTTATTATAAGTAGCACATTTAAAAGAGATAAAAACAGTGTTTTAGGATTAAAATGATAAGAGCTCTTGAAAGGTCACATATTTATGTAGACATCACAAACAGAATGTCACAGTTCATACTGACACAAGTGCCTTTCAGCAATAATATGGCAAATAATCTTATCTTTCCTTCCATAAATTACAGTCAAGTCATTTGCAGCTGTAAAACTTGCGTATAAAACTGTGCCACATCACATTTTAGCTAATACCAAAAGACAGGAGGACATGTGGAGTCTCTGGTTTCTTTTTAATGTTGGTTTTCCCTGATGCTGTTGGAATAAAACAAGAGAACTAAGGTTACAGTAAGTAGTTAGTTTACGATTGCCAAGGGATGATGTTGTTATTGCAGTTAGTATATTGTGTTACAGTTTACCGTGCTAGTGTGCAAAGGACTTTGACATATCAGATTTCTACTTGGGTTGGGTGCTTATTCTTGTTGTAAGAGAAAAACATCAGCCAGTTCAAGTATATGTTTTTCACCCTTAAAGAACCTCAAAAATAACTCCAGTGACTATCGTAGAGACAGCCAGCTTTGCAAAAAGCAGTTAATGGTTAACTGTCATGTGGACTGATGTCTCTTCCCAGACACAGAAAGTAGGCAGCATGGGCTGCAGCATGACCAGCGCAGCATTTCAATCTTCAGACATGTATGCATGCATGCATGCATGCATGCATGCGTGCGTGCGTGTGTGTGTGTGTGTGAAAGGCAGGAGATAAGACTGCAAAGACTTGTATATTTCACATGCGCACTCACCCATCTTTCCTTCAGTCACAAATTTTTCAGCATACATTTGTGCACAACAGGAAGCAACAGTCGACAGCAGCAGTTTCTTCCTTTCTCTTCCTCTCCTTGACTCCTTGAGGCAGATGGTCCAAGTCCTTGGTGCTCCCTTTTGTCTGGCAGCATGACATTGATAGGATTGTGTAAAAAAGATAAAAAAATCGATAAAGCGGGTAGTATAATATTGTACTACAGTCTATCTTTGGGCAGAAACAATTCACTCAAAACCTGCTTTGATAAATTTTATGATCTCTAAAACATCTGATCTTTATATTTTCAATTAATTCCTGAAACTCTGAGATGTTACAGCAGCTGTTAGTCACTGACTTTGTTTAATTCGGAGGATGTATGTCTATCCTCTATACCCAAGACCCGCACCCCTCCAGGCTTTCCAACAAGTTCCTGTTACATTGGGCTCGACTATGAATTACACCCTCACTTGCCACTTTATTAGGTACACCTTGCTAGTACCAGATTAAATCCACTTTTGCCTTCACTACTGCCTTAATTTTTCATGTCATAGATTCAACAATTTGTTGGAAACATTTGGTCCATATCCACTCGACAGCATCACACAGTTGCTGCAGACTTGATGGCTGCACATCCGTGCTAGGAATCTCCTGTTTCATCACATCCCAAAAAGGCACTCTGTTGGATTGAGATCTGGTGACTGTGGAGGCCATCTGAGTACCATGAACTCATTACAGTGCTCAAGAAACCAGGCTGAGATGATCTGAACTTTGCAACATGGTTCATTATTATAATATTCATTATTAAGATAATCCACATCATTATACCACCACCATCGGCCAGAACATATAAAACAAGGCAGCGTGGATCCACGCAACACCAAATTCTGACCCTATCAGCAGAAATCAAGACTCATCAATCCAGATAATGTTTTTTCAGTCTCCTATTATCCAGCTTTAGATTACAACACACAGGATAAGCCTGTGTGAATTGAAATCTCGACTTCCTGTTATTAACCAATCTGCTTCGAGGTTTGACAAGTTTGGAGATTCTCTTCTGCATACCTTCGTTGTAATGTGTGGTTATCTGAGTTGCTGTTTCCTTTCTATCAGTTCAAAGCAGTCTGGTCATTCTCCTCTGACCTCTGACATGAACACGGTATTTTCTCTCACAGAACTGTCACTCACTGGACATTTTCTACTTTTCTGACAATTCCCAGCAAACCCTGGAGATAGTTGAGTTAGAAAAATCCCAGCAGATCGGCAGTTTCTGAAATACTCAAATCAGTCCATCTGGCATCAACAACAATCTACGTTCAAAGTCACTTAAATCCTTCCTCTTCTCTAATCTGATGCTTGGTTTGAACTTCAGCAGGTTGTGTTAACCATGTCTGCATGCCTAAATGCATCGGTTTGCTGCCAAGGACCTAAAAATGTGGCTAGTGAGTGTAATTACATGTGCGTAATAACAGATAAGTGGATGATGATCATTTAAAAATTAGTTACAATTTTTGCTGCTTTTGAAAAAGCACAACATACATACAACATACAAATGAGATCGCTGAGATCTGAAGATCTCATTTAAAGTAATGTATCCTGGCTGTATAAAAGTCTATCACATTGCCATTCTATACATCACAATGTAAAACCTGTGCTGTGACGTTTGAAAAGTGTTTGTAGGCTAATATTGGCAGTGAGTATTGGAGACTAATTTAAACCGCTGAGTGTCACTGATTAAACAGGTTAAACAGACCCAAGGGCATTTTAAGAAGCTCGCCATATAAACTTTAAATAATTAAAATATCACTGCCAACTTTAGTTTAGACTATTTCAAATAACTTGAGCAAGGTTAACTCCTTAAGGAGAAAACGAAATGAGCGTGACTGCTAATAACCAACAAGGCTTAAAGACATCATTCAAATCGCCTTCCAGACAATGACTCACCTGTCTGTTTTCCTCAGCTACAGGTGGAGCCTTTCGCTTTAAAAAGATGTACAAATCAAAAGAAGGCCCATAAAACCTCTAATAGGAAGAAATTGGATAGCAATTTTAAACGCCAACACGGATAAATCCAAAACTTTCCGAGCTTTTGCCAAGTAAATCCTTCCCCCCCCCCTTTTTTTGCTCTCTCCACAGGTTACTGACCCCAACAAAGAAGACGAAGAAAAAACAGTAAATAGCCGATTTCTACGACAGCTCTTCCTGTCAACCAAAACCACCAGAGCTCGCTTCTAACTGGAGAGAGAGGAACATTTGGACGAATTAAAACAAACTTTTAGTTTCGTCGCTCTGTGTGTGCGTGTGCTGTGGTCGTCCTGCGAGCGGTCATCTGCGCACAAGAGAGGGGCACGAGTGACGTCAGCACACGTTTCTGAGTGGACAAACCGCGCGCGAGGGCTCTCTCGGGACCCCTACAGACCTGCCGCAGCTCAACGCACCGACATATAAACACAAGCTCACTGAGACAAACACTGTCAGCTGTTATTTTGTATATTATACTGAACTTGTTGACCTCAATGTCACTGAGTCAGCAGATGCATGCAGTATCCACCAGCCGGCACCCTCTCTCTCTCACACAAACACACACCAAGTTCTCTTTACTGACATGAAAGCCTAGTCACGGTCCTAGTTCCTCGTTGGCAGATAGTATAAAAGGGAATTTGACATTTGACTTACACATACAACTGCACTGAATTACCCAAAGACTAGAAGAGGACGCCTTGTTAGACAGTGTGAGAGTGAAGCCAAAGAAGGTTGGGAGGATCAGAGCACCACAGCTAAACAGACAGCAAAGAAGGCAGAAGATGCATGGAGGCATGGCTCACAACTGCTGGCTCTTGGTCACACTCTCTCTTAAAGGTAGGTACATATATAAAAGCGCTGCAGCAGTCATGCTGGGATGGTTAGACAGTGATGGTTAGAATTTAGGGGTTTTTTTGTTGGTATTCCAGGTATTCTTGCTGGTGATTGGTCAGTTCATCTCCCATCTGGTCCCATCTGTGCTGTGATTGGTTCTTCCATAGAAATCTCGTGTTCCTATGACTACCCGCAGACCTCCAATGAAACCAGGGAAGAGGGGTGGCCCTCTGCTCAGGTATTTCAATAAAGAAGGCATTGTTAGCAGTTATACTGTGCATTAAGAGCTAAAAACTGCAGTCAGAATAAAAACAAGTGTCAGTTCTTTGATAAAAACTAGCCAAAATTAGTTTTTATGCTAAGCTTACAGGTGATGTTTTGGGTTTGGTTTGAACAGATACAGTCAAGTTAATCTAGAATTTTCCACTTTACAGTATCCACTGATTTAAAAAGCTCTGTGTATCTGTCAGGGTGGAGGAGGTGAAGGAGGACAAAAGTACATGGTTTTGTCTGAGATGTGGTGCCTTGAAGACAGCCGGTGTATTACGGCAAGGTAACAATGATGTGTTGAAGTCACAGAAACACACACGAGGGTGGAAGTAAAGAGCACAGGTGTCTAAGTCTGTCTGCTTGTCCCTCTGTCTGTGTTAGATACGTGTACCACAGCGATCACATCTTCCCAGATCCATCCTACCAGAACAGGGTGCAGTACCTGGGAGAACCAGGAAGCAAGGTCTGCTCTCTGAGGATTACTGATCTAAGGCAGTCAGACAGCGGGACCTACGTGTTTTACCTCATCACCAACCACTCCACAGAGAAGATGCCAGAGCAGGCCGGCGTACAGCTCCTGGTGGCAGGTGTGAACCTTAAACAAGTAAAAATATCATTCTCATCGCTAACAATGATACTGTGCAATCAGCAAACGCATCGTCCCCCCATCATTCAAAAGCTTTTATAGATTTGCAAAGTACGCAAGAAAAGATACCTTATTTTATATCTATTTTTATGAGTTTCCTCCTGTTGTCATAATCATTTTATACCCTGGATGAGTCACATCAGTATGACCTGGCAAACCATTAAAGACAAACCACACATCCCTTCTTATTATTTTCTATGTGCATTGTGGTTTTGTCTGTCTTTCTCTTTCTTTTGCTATGTATTGGTCAACTTCTCTGTAAGTAAGATAAAAAGAAACTTCTCTGTAAGTTGCTCAACTTCCTTGTCACAGAATATATCTCTGTTTGCTCTGTTTCTTATTTTGTTTTCTTGATGAATGGATCTGAGTGTGATTCCCTGTTGTCAGAAACACAGCGCAGTCAGAGACCAGCATTTACTGTCCAATAACCTAAAGCCAAACCTAAAGCTAGCAGCGTTTACAGTTTACCTTACTGTATTTCTTAAATGACTGCTTAGCAAAGCTCGTTGCTTTATCTAGCACCATTGCAATATTCAGTAACAGTTTCCTTTGTGCAACCCTTTGTCTGACATTTTGTGCTATTTATGAGAAGCTGAAGTGAAACCGACGACTTGTTGGGTTTAAGTAATCTTGATGTAAGACTCTGTTACGTAACCTTTGATGCTTTTGAGGTTGTAGTCAAATTACTCTTAGAGCTAAACATTAAAGACGGGTTAGTATTTGCAGAGCTTGGGAGAAAAAGATATTATAACCTGTTGAGAGGCAATCGAGTTGAGTTTGTCTGTCTTACATAAAGCTGGTGTGAGAAATGACAGCAAATAGCTATATGATTATGTTAAGACATTGTGGAATAATAGTGTTTAGCATTAAATTAAAACACATTCCCCGTGTGTGTGCTTTAATATGAGCCTCTCAGCTCTATGTCTTGGTATAGCTTGTCTGGTTCTGCATGCATGTGAGAGCATCAGTCCTGTCCTTTAAAACTGGTGGTCTTCTGTGGATCTATAAAGAAATTAAATAGTACATACATAATATCACATGTAATAGTGATATGGCCCAAAAAACAAAGGAATAGAAAGCATTCATAGTGGTTTCCTCCTACCTTTAAATAGAAAATAGGCATGTACAAATGGTATATAAATCACTCCACCCATTGGCTTACCAACCACTTTTTTTTAGACTCAAATGTGGTATTTTGGTTGTTGCATTGTTGGACGGGTACCTAAAGACTACAGACACCAGGCTGTAAGTGTACTTCCTTCTGCTCTATTTGTGCATTTTTACATGTGCACCTATGGAGGCTGACTCACTTTTAGAGTCAGCCTCCAGTTACCGTTAGAGGAACTGTTTTTTTTTTTTTTTTACTTTGGCTTTGTTTTTCAACTGCAGAGCTTGTTCCTTGAATGCTGTCCTCATTAACAAAAATGAACTAGTTAACTATTAGGATAGTGTTTTACTCTGCAGAAAGCTAAAAGTTGTTGACTTTTAGCTTTATGTAATTCATGATTGTTTTTTCCATTTGAATATATGAAATAATAATCTCACCACATATGTGCTTTGTCTGTTTCTGTTTTTTTTTCCCTTCAGACTCCCCCAGTGCAGTCACTGCCTTAGCAAATCCATCCAGGGGCATCACAGAGGGTGCAACCTTACGTTTGGCCTGCTGCAGCCCTGCAGAGTCACAGGCCAATGTGACTTGGCACAAGAGCACAAGTAACAGCGTAGCACACACTGGACAGGTGTGGAATATTACTGAAGTTAAATCAGATGACTCTGGCAGCTACTACTGTCAGATGCAAACTGGAGCCAAAGTGCATAACTCAACCATGCTACCAGTTGATGTGCAGTGTAAGTCAAGCTTTTGTTATAAATGTAAAAATCAGATCAACATTTATATACAAGGTCATTCATCTGTTTATTTATTTAGCTTGTTTTGACACACAGAACTCCAAAGAGCAGAAAGAAAATTTTCAAGCTTAAAATATGTGCTGCTGACGAAGCATTTTAACTCTTTCTAGAGAAATTCTAAAAGTAAGAAACTTCCGCATTAAGCCGGGGTTAACCTTTTGTAACAGGGATACAAGCAGTGCTCTTACAGAGTTTTTATTTCCTCTGTTTCCTCAGTATTATTGTAGGGCCTTTACTTTACAATATAAAGTGCCTTGAAGAACTGTTATTGTGATTTGGTGTTATATAAATAAAACTGATTTGAATTGAATCAAACTCACTTGAAGATTTAACTTATCTCTAATGCCTCCTTCTAGATGCTCCTCGAAACACAACCATCTCAGTGTCACCTGCTGGACAGCTAGATTACGAGCTCCCCATGACTCTGACCTGCAGCAGTGATGCTAACCCGCCCGTGCACACATACATCTGGTACCAGGGTGCAGCATGTCTCAGTGACGCAGACAAAAGCTTTCATCAAGGCAGACGAACTGTAGCTACACCCACAGGAAGCAGCCAGACATCCAGCAGTGCCAACATCACCACTGAGGAATCTGGGCAGCACTGCTGTGTGGCACGAAACAGACATGGATCTCAGACTTTCAGTATAACGCCCAGAGCCTCCAGAGGTAGGTGTATGAAGAGGCAGGTCTTAATATAATATTAAGACCTTTCCCTGCCTACACCCTAAAAAATTATTCAGGGGCTTAGTAAATATCATTATAATTCTAAGTTAGATGACCTTGATTAAATCTTTGAAAATCACAAAAGTGTTATCTTGAGTTGAAAATACTGAAAAGAATGCTTAACCCTCTGATGCATGAATTATGAAAGCCTTGGTCAAGATTTTTTTCTTAAGTGCTTTTATTCTTCTCAGGACATGAAAAAAAATGTTCAACTCTTTTTTCCCCAAAAATATGTTTTTTTATAAAGTTATAAACTTGTCCACTCCAGTGGACTACATGCGCCTGAGCACTTAGCATGAAATACTGTGAATTTACTATAAAAATTAATTACCGTGTGTTCTATTGTAAATATACAAACACTTGTTTGCTTGTATCCTTTGAAAAACATCTCAGCAATTTTTTTTGGAACTTTCAACTCATAAGGCCCCAATGTTTAGACGTAAATAACAAAACCAATCAACAGTCCTAGCTGTGAATCCTACACCTGAATATGGCAAACTATCTCCACCAAGAGAAACATTTTTGAGTCTACACAGTTCTATAACGATGCAGGACAGTATTACCAAGCCCTTAGTAGCATGCTGGAAGAAAACACAAACTGACATCTTAGTCTCTGCATCTCCGAACACTTCTGTGTTCATCACACCTAGGCTGTCCGTAGTTCCTATGTCTCTGTTCTGCTCTGGCAGCCACTCTCATCATCACTGGACTTATCACTGAACTCATCATCACTGCACTCATCAATGAAATCATCATCACTGGAGCTGGATGGAATTTCCTGGACTATTCTGTACGCTGCCTTATTCTTTGCTGCAT